GGAGACACTTCTCAAGCAGGCGGTTGCTTCTGGACCTCAGTACCTTTGGACTTTCCCTCTGCTAATTTTTCAGTGCATTTTCTAAGCTGTAATATTTGAGGTTCTCCTCGCCTACTAAGATCTGTATAAGGCAGAGACCCTGGGAAGGGAACTGTGGCAGCCATGTGGTTTCTCTGCCATTTACCTAGGAATCAAGGCTCAGCTGCAAAGTGCTACCTCTGACAGCAGAGATGTGATTGCACAGAGATAAGTGCAATTGCTCACTAAACCGCTCTGCCACGTGATTTAACAGATGCCCCAAACTTCCCTTCTTGAAATGATTTTCCCAAAGTTTCTTTTTGTGTTGTTTTTGTTTTTTTTTTTTTAACATTTTTTAATGTACCGTTAATTGATGAATATCAAGAAAACAATGTCGGGAAATAATTAGAGGAGGCGTGGACAAAAACAACAACAAAAAAGGAAACCAGATGGAAAGTCAGTCTTGCATGTGCGAAGCTTACAGCTCCTCTGCCATTTCATTTTCCTCGGGTGCCCTCTCGTGTCCATCGCTAGTACAGCCAAAAACATCCGGACTGGCACGAGCAGAAGAAGCCTCCAACTGCTATCACTATCACCGTATAAGGCTAATCCATTTCGAAATCGTTTGTTCCCCCCTTCACCAAATTCCCATAGCTCCTAGGAATCTGTGTACAAATACAAACTTAAATGCATAAATTATGTCTTTTTTTTTTTTTTAGGATGGTCCAGAACCAAAGAAGGTTTCCTCTGCTTGCGCTTTGCCTCCCCTGCTACAGGCACAGCAACTCCTTGCGAGATTTCAGCCAGGCTCTTAGCCCTTCCTTTAAGATAAATGAACACAGCTGAAATCCCAGAGAGCTGAGGATGCTTACGTTCTCACAGCAGCTGATTGCATCCATGGCTCGTACTTGGACTGAAAATATTTCCCACAAGTGGGTGTGTTGGGCAGCTCAGCACACAGAAGGTTCAGTTATGATGAAAAGGCACAGCCGATGGGTTTTCTGCCATCTGATCCTAGGCATCTGCTTCAAATCAGTATATTTATAGGACACCCATTCCTTGCAGAAGCACAGTGATGTGTCATCACCTTGCTCTAGCGTATTCCCTGCTGTGTTGTTCAACATTAGTGAGCAGAGTGGGATTCCCTCGCACTCCAGCCTGCTTTTGTACAGCCCATTTGCATTCATCCCACTGTTGTATAGTAGAAAAAGTAAATGAGAGAGTTCCTCCCTTTGAAACCTCAGCAAATGAATGCCAAACACGCATACCCACGAGCAGGTTATATTTGGGGTTCCTGAAGACACAGCAGGAAGGAAATGGGTCAGTCTGGGCTAACAGACATCTTGATCACTACTTGGTTGTGTTTTTTTGCTCTTATGAGTGAAAATAAGAGCATAAAACACAAAAGCAGGTGAAATGGAAGACAGATTCTTTTCTAAATTTAAAGGGTAAAAAAAAAAAAAAAAGGAATGGGGTTCTGTCAACATAATTTTTTAATCTATGTCAGCTCTAATGCAAGCTTCACACAATTTACTGGAAGATTATTATTTATTAGCTTAAATGAACTGAGTAAGATGTATTGAACAAAAAGAGCATAGTTAACACTCTTGCAAGAGATACCCTCATCTCTCACTGCCAACCCTTAAATGAGGTGTGGGAAGGGGTGCATCCTGGCTCCAGCCCTTCTGGTCACTCAGGTACACTGCATGCACCTGAGCTCCCCTGGGTTGGCCCTGCCTTCCACCAGGTACTCAATCACTGGTTCAGGACAGAAATGTTTGAAATGTTGTGTGCTTTTGCATAAGAAAGCTTTCATGAGCAGGAGGCAGGGGATTTTAGTTTTCAGGACTGGGAGCACATCATCTTTCATCAGCACTAACCTCACCTTGTGAGAAGACAAAGATTAAAACTCATGTCCTTATTCAGTATTACGTGGGATGAGATTTTCTTTTTTTTTTGCTCCGCAGCTATGCAATGCTCTCACTAGAGCCCTCTGCTGCTCATATTCAGAATGGAAAACTCCAAACTTATCTGGGTCTCCCAGAAAAGACTGATAACATCAGCAATCAAATCACCAATAATTTTGGGATGAGGATGAAAATTTAAATAATGAATGAAGGCCACATTAACTTCCATCTGAGATAAGAAGAAACCTTTTGATGGAAAGGTATTTCATAACTGTTGCAGGATTTCTTCTGTTTATGCCTGTCAGAGACACTATATGACAAATGACCTAATGTAAATCAGCAGTTTTTACTTAAAATATTCTGACATTCTGGAGGCTTTTCTGAGAGAGAAAAATATTTATTTCTTTTTTCCTTCTCCTATAAACAATAAAAAAATATTTGGTATTGGGGATATCATTTTCCTCTGACATTACTGAAATGAGCTATAATTTTGTGAGCTCACACTTGGAGTCATGGCATCACGAACAGCAGGAGCAGCTTCAGTAAGGAAACTCCAAAAGAAGAATCTTCAGAAACCTAAAGTTCCTATTTTCACAAATCCATCTCAGAACGGAAGAATAAGTCCAGGAAGAGGGAAGCCAAACTGTTTCTATAGCAGTACAGTCTCTGTGATGATATTGCTGTTTTCCTTTTGCAAAAGCCCAGAATCCGCAAAGCTCCAGGCATATGACAAAAGCTCACACCTAAGAGATGCTTAGCTTCCTGGGTGGCACAAACAGCTTTAGTATGTGCCATACTGTGTGTCTAAATGTGCTGCTGTAAGTAATTTTGTACCATGTATATGAGCAGTTCATAGAGATCTGTATATGGCCTGTAGATGTATGGCTACATCTGAGCCATTTGGGGAAGACATACTGACAATAGTGAGTTTGTAAGAAGATCAAGTGCTTCTGCACTAGTGGGCTTCTGTATTCATTTGAATACAATAGTGAAAGTCTGTACCCTACTGCAATATCTATAGTGGAAATGGTAAGTCACAGCTTGAAACAGTGATTGAGCACCTGGTGGAAGGCAGGGCCAACCCAGGGGAGCTCAGGTGCAAGCAGTGAAGCAGTGTACCTGAGTGACTGGAAAGGGTGGAGCCAGGATCCACCTTTTCCCAGACCTCATTTAATGTTGGCAGTGGAGGCAAAGGCATCTCTTGCTGGAGATCTCTGTCTATCTGAGGCTTTCTGAAGGTAAGCAGTGTTGTTTGTTTGTTTTTGTTCATTTCTATATTCATGGCTGCTGCATTTGGGCTTGTTCTCATTTACTGTAGCCAGAGACTTTGTCACCTAGCTTTCATTGTTCTGTTGTAGTGTTATGTATATCTATTTGGCTCAGTTTCAGTCTGCAGAGTGCCACGCCGGTTGAGTACTAAAGTGAGCAGTCAGTTTCTTGGATCAAAATACAGTTCAGCTGTTTCTAGAATTAACAGCCACAATTTACAATGCACTAGGCTTTAATACCTTGGTGTCTCAGTAAGACGAAACTCAAAGGGCTTTACTGAAACAGATTAATTATGTTCTGTAACGTTTCTGTTTATTGTTACTATAAAATGATTGAATTGGATGTGAATGATGAATTAGTAATAGTTAGGGCATTGCAGAAACATACATTGCAGAAATACGAGTGGGCTACAGAGGTGATAAGTGCCTGGAGCATCTCCCTTCTGAGGAAAGGCTGAGAGATATGGGACTGTTCAGCCTACAGGAGAGACTGAGAGGGGATCTCATGATTGTTTATAAATATCTGCAAGATGGGAGTCAAGTTGGATGGGGCCAGGCTCCTTTTAGTGGTGACCAGTGACAGGACAAGGAGCAGTAGGCACAAACTGGGACACAAGAAGTTCCATGTGAACGTGAGAAAGAACTGCTTTACTATGAAGATTACAGAGCGCTGGTGGTGCAGTCCCCTTCTCTGCAGATATTCAAAACCCACCCAGATATTTCCTGTGCAACCTGCTGTCAGGAACTTTGGACCATAAATATGGTGAAAGGCCTGGAGCATCTCCCCTATGAAGAAAGGCTCTGCACAAATGTGTGCAAGAACTTCTTTACAGTGAGGGTGACGGGGCACTGGAACAGGCTGCCCAGGGAGGTGGTGGAGTCTCCTTCTCTGGAGATGTTCAAGACTCGCCTGGGAACCTACTTGTGCGACCTGGTGTAAGGAACCTGCTTTGGCAGGGGGTTGGACTTGATGATCTCTGGAGGTCCTTTCCAACCCCTACAATTCTGTGACTCTGTGAACTGCTTCAGCAGGGGGCTGGGCTGGGAGATCTCCAGAGGTTCCTTCCAACTTGTGCATTTCTGTGATTCTGTCATCGCTACAGACTTTATTACGCGTCAAAAAAAGTCACAAACTGCTCACTGGGTGCAAGTTCCTTTCTTAGCCATGAACTCCTTTCCCCCCAAATCAAACTACCTCAGCTGGGAGGGCGAACAGAGATTGGCACAAAGGTGTCCTCGCTCTTGTTTTATTGTACAGAAACCACAGTGTGAATTTATTAACAGCTTACATAAGGTCAGGTAAGAAGCCTATGGTAGAACGAGGGAAGCCTCGTCAAGTCCTGAGGGCCTGTCTTAAGCATGAGACTGACTGCTTCCCCATCCTTCACGCGGACTGCCTTGGGGCTGACTGCAGAGCACTGACAGCTACGTGCACTGCCTTGCGCTTCTCAATGTTTGCCCACAGCGGCAGAACATTACAAGGGTCTTTTTGGTAAGCGAGACCACAGCTGTTTCCTTAAAAGCACCTACACAGCGCTCTCCGCTTTCCCTGCGCTGCGAGCAGCGAAGCGTCCACCCGTCACGCCCAGCGCCCGCCCCGCTATCAGGGAGGACCGGCGCGCGGAAAGGGAGGGCGCGGCCAAGTCTCGCGAGAGCTGTTAGGGCCGGCCGCCGCCGCGCTCCTCCCCGTGCCGGTCCCGGCGAGCGAGGCCTGCGCCGAGGCCGGGCCGTGCCGTGCTGTGCCGGGCGGCGGCATTGGGAGGCGGGCGGGCCGCGGCCGGGACTGCGGGGCGCGATGCCGGGCGGGCGGGTGTGCGCCGCGTGCGGCTGCTCGGAGATCGAGGTAGACGCGGCGCGTGGGGATGCGGTGTGCACGGGCTGCGGCTCGGTGCTGGAAGACAACATCATCGTGTCCGAGGTGCAGTTCGTGGAGAACAGCGGCGGCGGTTCCTCCGCGGTGGGGCAGTTCGTGTCGTTGGACGGTGAGCGGCGGGGCGAGGGGCTGCGCGTGGAGTGGGGCGGGGTCGGTGTGGGAGGTAAGGACGGGATAGCGGCGGTGCGTCGGGAGACGGCGGAGATGGGAGATGGGCGCAGCGTGATGTGGGCAGGGTCGGCACGGGGGAAGGTGTGGTTTGCGGTGGGATGAATGGAGGAAAGGTATATGTGAGGTGGGAGAGATGCTCCGCGTGTGGCAGGTGTAAGTGCACGAGGATCGGAGCTGTGTGAGAGTCGTAGAATCGTTAAGGTTGGCCCAGCTGTCCACCTATTGCCCGCCACCCCCTGTCCCTCAGTATCGCAACCGTGTGTTTCTTGGATGCCTCCCGGGACAGCCTGCACCAGTGCCTCACCACTCTCATGCAGAAGTTTTTCTTAATGTTCAGCCTTTTTCTAATGTCCAAGAAGGTGCAGTGTGGAAGGGCTGGGTACATAGGGATGTTGCTATGTGAAGGACACCAGATTGGTTAGATGTGACCTTCCCCTGGGTGCCCCGACCCTGGAGGTGTTCAAGGCCAGGTTGGATGGGGCCCTGGGCAGCCTGGTCTGGTATTTAATGGGGAGGCTGGTGGCCCTGCATGTGGTAGGGGGTTGGAGACTCATGAGCCTTGAGGTGCCTTCCAACCCTGGCCATCCTGTGATTCTGTGAAATGGGTTTGAGGAAGGAGAGAATGGTGGTGGGAAGGGCAGCACAACACGGAACCAGAGGGATTGCAGGTGAGGGTTTCTCTAAATGTTGCCTGGTGCTGTTGCCATCTTCCATCTCAGGGCACTGACGCTGTATTTCGCTTTTAAGCTTATCAGTCAGTCTTGCATCCTTCACTTTTTCCTGTAGAGATGTGGAGACTACGTTTTAAGGGCTGGTACAGCTTTTTGCCTCCCACCCAAAATTATGCAGGACAGATGGCATGCAAGCTTGAGCTCATTTTGGGAGCTATAAAAAATATCAAGAAGAAAATAGAGATCTGCACCATACTGAGTCTCTTTCTTTCCCCTGGCTGAATTGTACAATGGCTTCCTAATAGTTTCTTCAAGAGACTTTTTCCCTTCTGTGCAAATTGTGGGATGCTGTAGCTGGCTGCTCCTTTTGAATAGATAGTGTGTGATTCCTTGGTATTGTACAGGTAGTTATCTATTATATGACAATGAAGGAATTTCGGTACCCATGAAGACAGATGAGCACTGTGAGGATAGGTGGGCGTGTAAAAGTGGAAACCTGACTGAAGCACATTCTAGCATGTTTATGGTGCTTTATCTGGCTGGCACAAGAGGTGATGGCAGGAGCTTCACTGTGTGTTGATAACAGGTCCCTGTGTGCATTAATGATTGCATTTTGGTGAAGAACACAACTCTGAGAACAATACTGCTTGTGGATTGGCAAAGTTAATGCAAGTGAAGGGCCCTATTTTATGCAGTAAATATTGTAAGGGAGTTTGGCTGAGGGTCGTACATACTAATAAAATTCTTATGTTCCAAGACAGATACTTCTGCTGTGAATAATCTTTTTTTCAGCTGATTTTAAATTGAGGAATACACACTAATCTGAAAAGATGTATTTGAACTGTACTAACAGTGTCTTTGTGATGTATGCTTGTATGTTGTGTCAGTATGATGCTGATTTAACTCCTTGAGAATGGGTAGAAAATTCCTTTCCTGTATAAGCAAAACAGAATTCATCCCTCTCTGTGTTGCCTCATCGGAGTAATATCCAGTGGAGTGTGTATTTCTTTGCCTCAAATACACATTTTCTGTCATAAAGCAACAATTTCTGGTAAGCTGTAGCTTTCAGTGATTATTCTGATTACATAAACAGGTTTCTATCAAAGTTACTGGTTTTTAAACACCTCCTGTCATCCTTGTAGGTTTTTTAGCTCTGTGGCTCTGAAGAATCCCCTGTGTATGAAATGCGTTGGGCTACATCTACTTGGGAGCATCAAGCTGCAGTCCAGGGAGACAGCTCTACTGTGCAGTGTTGTGGTGTCAGAGATGCCAGGCTGCTGGTTTTGAGCCCCTGGCACCTGGTCAGGAGGCATGGGTGACTTGAAGACCATTGCCCATGTTTAACAAGGTGTGAGGAATGTCAGGTTCTCTGGTGAGGTGCTGGGAGTTGAGTGGGGCTCTTAATGGCTGAGGAGTTTGGATTTCCTGGTTGTTCAGCAAATTTTGTGAGATTCCCAAACCTTTCTATGCTCTGTGAGAGATTCTATAGCTATTCTACATACACTAGCACACAAATAGATGTCTTTGTTCATTATTTATTTTTAATTCCTAAAAACAAACAAACAAACAAAAAAACCAGCTGGCTATGGAAAGCACTGTTCCTTCTCTTTTGTACATCTCACAAAACCTTTTATTTTGTGAAGCTGCAGGTTGAGTATTCAGAATCTTGCATTTGATTGCTGGGGGAGGGAAGAGTCTTGTGCTTCTCTATATTAATGCAAAATCACCTGCCTGCATCACACCTTGATTGTAAGGCCAGCTGCTTCAGCGCAGTGTATGGGAAATCCCTTCTTTTGGCCTGGAAGGTTTAGAAGAAGGTGTGGGATCACCATTACATTTGCACAGGCAGTGTTAAGTTTAGATATCAGCGTGCCTAGCACAGGAAGCTACAACCTCAATGCTGATGCCTTTCACAGAGGATTGGTACGGCCAGTGCTTTCTAGTATGGGTCTGTGAGTCTGTGCCTTCCGTTGTTTGGAGAATTTTAACAGCAGAGCAGTGGTGTGCTGGGATTTGAGAGATCTTGCGTAGCTACTGCAGAGAAGTTTGGGAAAATGCCGTCAGTTGGACAAAAGGACAGAAGCAGTGAAGGATGAAATAGGTGGATGTACAGGTAATTACATGGAAAGAATGCTTTTTGGCAAAGTAAATTCATGCTTTTCAGATCTTTTTGGAGCTTTCTAAAGAAACCAGTATTTGGAGAAGCGAGATGATGAGGACTTCCTTTTGCAAATCCATCAGAGCAGAGTAATTACTTAAACAATAAGCATGGATTAGGAATAAATAATAATTCATCTCAGTGAAGTGGCAGTGAAGTTCTACAGACATCAGGGCCGTCTGATCTGGAGAACAACTGAATGGTGTGTTGATGAGATGGGCTGGCAATGCTAAATTATTTGGGCTAGTAAAGGCAGTATGGTATAAGGTTGCCATTAGTAGTCTGGGTAGTAGGGTAGCTACTCTGGGAAGCACGTGTGATTGAGAGTTGTAGTTTCCTCCGTAAACAGAAAAAAAGAAGTGTAATAGAGCTAGAAATGATTGAGAGGGAGATGAGGTGATCAAGAGGAGGGTTTCTTGAAGAGCTCTTTGGTGAGAAATGACTGAACAGATTCTGCCTCTTCAGACTGGAAAAGAGGTGATTGAATGGAATATGGTAGAGATCTGTGAATACCATACAATGTTGTGGCCACAATGAGCAGTTGTTTGGTGTTGCGTAAGCTAGGCAGCACTAAGGAAGCTACCGGATGGTTTGTTTTAAAGGTAGCAAGTAGGAGATTCAGAAGCATCAAGAATGGTTTCAGGTGGTTTTTTCCTTTCATTAAATTGTGAAGCTTAAGTTGTAGACGTTAAAAGTTTTACATGGATTCAAAGTGTTGAACAAACAGAATAGAAATGTGCCATGGCCATTATTAGAGATGCTGTTTATGACTTTTGCAGTCCCTCAGCATTGGATCTGTAGGATCTGGATGATTACACAAGATATATCACAACAGTTTGCGCTTAGGTTTTGTGCTGTCTTGCAGACACGTACATCAGTGGTCATTACCATTCAGAGGCAAGCTACTGAACTAGATAGGCCTTTGGCCTGAGCTGGCACAGCTGTTCTGAGGGAGGTGGTGTTCCTTCTGAGCTTTGCAAAGATACTTTTGAGTGTTTTGACCATTCTTTTAAAGCTTGTCTGAGGGTGTGGTGTCCAGAGGTTTTGCAGTACAAAGATAGGTGTTCCAAAGTATCATGGTTTCTTTCAGCTTGACGTCTGCTAAATGATGAACGCTACTTCTGTGATGTTGATGTTAGATAAGCACGTTCTCTTTTGAAAATGATTAACTAAGCCTTCTGATTTTCTTCTGGGAAGTCACTAATAGAAATACTTACAAGTAGGAGAAAGTCTGTGATCAGGTGTCCAGAAATCATACTGCAAAACAAAGGTTTATTTAGTGTAGTGGTTACCAAATTGCACGTGCAGTACTTTGTAAAATGACCATGAAATCTTCCCTAACAGCAGCTTGGCTGTATAAAATATGATGTGGTTTATATCATTACATAGAGGGAGATAGACTGTGCCAGTGCTGATGAGACATCCTTTGTAGATGGGCATGATCTGTCTGTTGCAATGTAATAACACTCTCTTCAAGATCATGCCCCTTCATTGCTATGGTCTTGGCAACGTCTTGTGAAGAACTTGCTGGGAGATGGGCAGGTGAATTCTTTCAGTAGGGAAGGGACACCCTCTTCGTGCTCTAGAAGGAGGGACAGTGTGTGTCTGTCATCTTCTGGTAGGAAAATCTTCAGAGAACACATGCTTGTGAAGCATTTGATGAGCCCTGTGTGTTCCAGCTATCTGCACTTTTGAATTCTGTTGCAGTGAGGTAAGCATCTAGTTTCAGCCCTCAATCCTGGATATGTTATTCTCTTGAAACTTTTGAAGGCCGTTCATGAGTGTGTTGTTCTTGAACTTGATTACACTTTTCAAGAGTCAGCAGATACTCATGGGAGAGAGTTGTCATGCACTTTTCAGCTCCAAGAAGCTGTTATTTGCACACAAAATGTTTGAGGCATATACTTTTCCTATTACACAAATCGAATTTTGTTAAACATCTACTTTAGACTTGAGAGCTGGTTCAGACTCTCACAAAATATTCCAAAATACTGTTGTGTGTCTTTGTACCAGATTTGTAGAGTGTTTGAATTGAAATTCCCCACTTTTCTTAACAGAAATTAATGTGATGGTTTTTCTTTGTACCCAAGCTCCTAACAGATTTCTTCT